ATCTATTCATCCCTTCATCAGTCTATATATTGATCTATCCACCCATCCATCTGTCTGTCTGTCCGCCTATCCACCCACCCACCCAAGTATTGCTCCATCTCCCTTTCTGTCCATATATCTATCCATGTATCTATCCCTTCATTCGTCTGTCCATCCATCTATCCATCCATGTATTGCTCCATCTCTCTCTGTCCTTATATCTATCTATCTATCTATCTATCTATCTATCTATCTATCTATCTATCTATCTATCCATCCATTCGTCTGCCTGCCTGCCTGCCTGCCCACGCACCTCCCTTTCTGCCCCTATGTGTACCCATGCATTCCTGGGTCTCCCGCTGCCCATGTGGTGGTGCACGACCTCTCCCTGGCCCTACCTGTCCCCCTCCCTGTGGATGGATGCCTGTGTGGGGAAGGGGCTGGCCCGCACTCTCCCTCTGCGCCTGACTCACCGTCCTGTGGAGCGGTGGGGGTGGCTTGCCGTGGGGCCAGGCGGGGAGGCTGCGGTGGGGTCCGCGCGGGGTCTGCCGTGCCCGCCGCCGCTGCTGCTGCTGCTGCTGCTGTTGCTGCTGCTGCTGGCGGGGGCCTTTGTGGTGCAGGGCGGTCCCGGCGCAGAGGGCCTGGAGCGAGAGGTAGACCAGCTGGCCCGGAGAGCGTCGCCCCCCTGGCAGGAAGGACAGGGCCGGGCGGGGGGCGGGAGAGGGCCGGGCGGGACCCCCCACCTCTGCCGAGGCCGATGCGGAAGCCCCAGCCGCTCTCTCCCGGCCCGGCCGCCAAGGCATGGCCCGCCGCCTCTGGCTCGGCAGGGGCGCTCACAGCCCCCCGCCCCCCAGGAAGGAGCAGACCCTTCCCATTGGAGGGAGGGAGGCCCCTGTGACATCACAGGCACCCCCCCTCCGCCCCCTCTCCAAAGTAATCCCCCACTCCGTTCCTCGGGCCGGCGGCTGCTGCTGCTGCTGCTGCTGCTGCGGCAAAAAGGAACGCCATCCCTGCCTTCCCCTCTTGCTTGCCCTCTTTCCCTCCTCACTTATTTTTCCCGCCCTCCCTCCTTCCCCTCTTGCCATCTCCTCCTCCTCCCTCTTTCTATCTTTCCCTCCTTCCCTCCCTCCCTATCTTTTTTTTCTTTCCCTCAGCTTTCTTTCTCTCCTTCTTCTCCTCCTCCTCTCCCTTCCTTATCTTTCCTTCCTTCCCCTCTTCCCTTCTCCGTCCCTTCCCCCCTTTATTTTTCTTTCTCTTTCCATCTCTTCCTCCTTCCCTTCCCTTCCCTTCTTTCTTTCCTCTTTTTATCCTCTTTCCATCTTTCTCTCGTTTCAATCCAATCTTTCGTTCTTTCCTTCCTTTCTTCAGCTTTCTTTCTTTTCCTTCTTCACATTCCCATTTTCCTTCCTTTCTATCTTGTCTATCTTTCCTTCCCCTCTCCCCTCCTCCTTTCCTTCTTTCTTTCCTTCTGTCCTCTTTCTATCTTTCCTTCCTTCCTTCCTTCCTTCCTTCCCCCTCTTTCTGCCTCTTTCCTCCTTCTATTCCCCTCTTTCCTTCCACCCCCTTCTCTCTTTCCATCTCTTCCTCATTCCCCTTCACTCCCTCCTTCCCTGCCTTCCTCTCTTCCTCCCCCTTACATTCCATTCTTTCCATCTTCTCCTTCCCCTCTTTCATTTCTTTTCTTTCCCCTCCCTCATCTTTCCTTCCATTCTTCCTTCCTTCTTTCCCCTCTCTGTCTTTTCCTTCTTCTATTCCCCTCTTCCCTTCCCTTCCTTCCCCTTCCTTCTTTCTTTCTTCTCCTTTCTTATCTTTCTTACTCTTTTCCCTCCCTTTCCTGTCTGTCTGGTCCTCCTTCCCATTCCCCTCTTTGTTACCTTCCTTCCTTCCCCTTTCCAACTCCTTCTTGTTCCCTTCCCTTTTTCTTTTCCTTCATCTTTTCTGTCTTTTCCTCCTTCCATCTTTCTCTTTACTTTCCCCTCCTTTCTTACTTTTTTCCTCCTCTCTTTCCATCTCTGCCTCCTTTGCTTCACAACTTTCCTTCTTCCTTTCCTTCCATCTTTCTTCCTTTCCTCCCTTCATCTACCTCCCTCCCTTTCCATCTTCCTTCCCTTTTCTGTCTTTTCCTCCTTCCATTCCCGTATTTCTTTCCTTCCTCTTTTTCTGTCATTTCTTACTTCCAGTTCCCTCTTCCCTCCCTCATTCCCTTCCTCCTTTCCTTTCCCCCTCCTTATTTTTCTTCCTCTCTTTCCATCCCTCCTTCCCTTCCCCTCCTTCTGTCTTTTCCTCATTTCTTCCATGCTGTGTCTTTCTTTCCTTCTTTTCCTCCTCCCCCTCTTTCCATCTCCTCCTCCCTCCCTTCCCCTCTTTCTGTTTTTCCCTCCTTCCCTTCTTTCTTCCCTCCCTTTCTTCCTCTTCCTTCCTTTCCACCTTCAATTCCCTTCTTTCCTTCCTTTCCCTTCCTTCCTCAACTTTCTTCCTCTCTTTCAATTTTTTCCTCCTTCCCTTCCTTCTTTCTTTTTCCCTCCTTATTCTCACCTCTCTTTCCACCTTTCTCTCATTCCCATCCCATCTTTCCTTCTTTCCTTCTTTCCTTCCTTCCTTCCTTCTGCTTTCTTTCTTTTCCATCTTTGCTTCCCCTCTTTCCTTTCTAACCTTCCTTCCCCTTTCTACCTTTCCCTCCTTTCCTTCCTTCCTTCCTTCCTCCCTCTCTTTCTATCTTCCCCTCCTTCCCTTCCTCCCTCCCTCCCTCCCTCCCTCCCTCCCTTTCTGTCTTTCCACCTTCCATTACCCCCTTTCCTTCCACCTCCTCCTTCCTTATTTTTCTTTCTCTCTTCCCATCTTTTCCTTATCCTATTAACTCCCTCCCTCACTTCCCCTTTCTGTCTTTTCCTCCTTCCATTCCCCTCTTTCAGTCTCCTCCTTCCCCTCTTTCCTTCCTTCTTTCTTTCCCTCTCTCTTTCCTTTCATTCTTCCTTCTTTCTTTCCCCTGGCTTTTTCTTCTTTCACTCCACTCTTCCCTCCCTCCCTCCCTTCCCCTTCTTTTCTTCCTTCCAATCTTTCCTTTCTTCCCTTCCTTCCTTCCTCTTCCCTTTTTCTTCCCCTTTCTTACTTTTTCCCTCCCTTCCTCTGTCATTTATTTATTTATTTATTTCGGGCTTTTATATCCTGTCCTATCTCAACCTTCACAGAGGGACTCAGGACTGTCTTTTCCTCCTTCCATCCCTCTCTTTACTTTCCCCTCCTTTCTTACTTTTATCTTCCTCTATTTCCATCTCTGCTTCCTTCCCTTTTCTTTCATTCTTTCTTTCCTTCCATCTTTCTTCCTTTTCTTCCTTCATCTCCCTCCCTCCCTTTCCATCTTTTCCTCTTTCCTTCCCCTTTCTTTCTTTTCCTCCTTCCATTCCCATCTTTCCTTCCTTCCCTACCAATCCTTTCTTCCCTTCTTTCCATCTTTTCCTCCTTCCCTTTCACTCCTTCCTTCCTCTTTCTTCTTTTCTTCCTTTCCTTTCCCCTTTCCTTCCTTTATCTACCTCCCTCACTTTTGATATTTCCCTCCTTCCTGTCCCCTTTCTCTCTCTTTCCTTCCGCTTCCTTTTTCTCTTCCCCTCTTCCTTTCCTTCTTTCCTTCTTCTCCTGCTCCCTTTCCATCCTTCCTTCCTTCCGTCATCTCCCTTTCTTTCCATTTTTTCTCATTCCTTTTCACTTCTTCCTTCCATCCTTTTCCTCCTGTCCTTCCCCTTTTCCATCCCTCCTTCCTTCATCTCCCTCCCTCTCTTTCTATCTTTACCTTCTTCTCTTCTCCTTTTTTTCTTTCTTCCCTTCCTTCTTTTCCTCCTTTCCTGCCTCCTTTCCATCCATTCTTCCTTCCTTCCTTCATCTCCCTTCCTCTCTTCGCTCCTTCCTTCCCTTCTTTTCCTCCTTTCCTGCCTCCTTTCCTTTCTTATCTTTCTTTCTTTTCCTCCTTTCCTTCTCCCTTTTCCATTATTCCTTCATCTCCCTTCCTCTCTTCTCTTTTCCTTTTTCCTTTTTTCCTTTCCTTCTTTTCCTCCTTTCTGTCCCCCTTTTTCATCCACCCATCCTCCCTTCCTTCTCCCTCCTTCTCTTTCCATCTTTTCCTCCTTCCCTTTCACTCCTTCCTTCCTTCCTTCCTTTTGTTCTTTTCCTTAGGGGAAAGGATGTGTAGTTTCCAAAAATGAGGACCGGAAATGCAGGCAAAGAATGGATGAAGGCGTTCGACCAAGGAAGCCCCCTGAAGGTATGGCCATTGTCATACATTATTCAGATATGTCCTTATACCTCACTTTGCTCTCTTGGCGATCAATAAATAAAAAAATAATAGAAGGAGAAAGAGGAGGAGAAAGGGTGGGGGGTGGATGGAATGAAAAGATAGATAGAAGGATGGATCAATAAAATAGAAGGAGAAGAAATAGATGGATGGATCAAACACTAGATGGATAGAGGAGGAGGCGGGATAGATGGATGGATCAATCAATAGAAGAAGGAGAAGGAAAGAAGGAGGAGAAGAAGAAAAAAGGATAGATGGAAGGCTCAATCAATAGATAAATCAAGAAGGAGAAGGAAAGAAAGGAGATAGATGGAGGGACCAATCAATAGAAAGATAGATAAAAAAGGAGGAGAAAGAATAGATTGATGGATCAATAGATGGACGGACGGACGGACAGACAGATAGATTAAAAGATAGATATATGGATGAATAGATGGATGGATGGATCAATAGATTGATAGATGGATTAGTTCTTTATTGATCTATCTATCTATCAATCCATCCATCTATCTATTGATCCATCCAAGAGAAGGGAAAAACAAAGAAGAAGAGATGGATCAATAAATAGAGGAAGAAGAAAAGAAGCCCATTCCAAATGCATTAAAAGAGTACATAAGAAACTAATGACCACACTGTCGATTTGATGCAGTTTGCCCATCGCGTGGAGGCTTGGCAGTTCAAACAGGTGCCAAACTGTGTTAATTCTCCAGTGCGGATGCTTCTTTGGGCAGCTCACCTGCTCCACTCCCGTCCCTCATGGTGAGAGTCTTCACAGGGTTTTGCTATAGAAGCTGCCTAGGAAAACAAAGGGAAAGAAGAGATATTGAAACTGTCAGACTGATTGATCAACTAAACTGCATTAATTCTGCAGTGTAGACACGTCCTGGGAGCCTTGAGTTCGAATCCTCGCTAATATTGACCAAATGGCTTTCAAATTGATAATACTTATACTAACATAAGAAATATGATTATTCCTATTATTATTCCTATAATAAATGTAATGCATATCATTATTCCTATTATGATTCCTATAATAATTTTAATAAATATAATTGTTATTCTATAGTTATTCCCATTATAATTCTTATGCTAATATTATCAATATTATTATTCCCATAATAAATATAATAAATATTTGAGTCTCCTTCAGGAGGGATAAAGCGGGGTATTAATAATAATAATAATAATAATAATAATAATAATAACAACAACAACAACAACAACAACAATTCCTATTATTATTCCCACAAAAATTTAATAAATATAATTATTATTCACATTATTATTCCTACAATAAATTTAATAAATATTATTATTCCCATTATTGATCCCACTATGTTGTTGTTGTTTGGTTGCATTCTGAAATTCACATTATTATAAAAATGTATAATATCAGAAAGGACTACTACCTCACCCACTTTATAGGAAATCTACTACAGTTCCAGGGCCAGAGAAGCAGATGGCGGAAACAGAAGAATGGCCTGCCTCAGGGGAGCGTGCTTGCTCCATCAATGTTTAACATTTACATTTACACTGCCAGAAGGGACAGAGTTTCATCTATCTGATGATCGTGCCATCACTGCTCAAGCAGGGAGCTTTGCAATGGTTGGACAAAAGCTTTCTGAAGCTCTAGGTGCTTTTACTGCCTATTACAGAGAAAACCAGCTGATTCTTAATCCATCTAAAACACAGACATGTACTTTTCATCTTAAGAACAGACAAACATCTCAATCTCTGAGGATTACCTGGGAGGGAATCCCACTGGAATATTGCAGCACACCAAAATACCTCGGAGTCACTCTGGACCATGCTCTGACTTACAAGAAGCACTGCTGTAATATCAAGAAAAACGTGGGTGCCAGAAATAACATCATACGAAGGCTGACTGGCATAACCTGGGGATCACGACCAGGCACAGTGAAAACATCTGCCTTTGTGCTTTGCTACTCTGCTGCTGGGTATGTATGCCCAGTGTGGAATACATCTCACCACGTTAAAACAGTGGACGTGGCTTTTAATGAGACATGACACATTATCACAGGATGTCTATGCCCAAAACTGCTGGAGAAATTACACTGTACCACCTGACATCCACCTGGAAGTAGTTGCCAGCAATGAAAGGACCAAGGCAGTGACATCTCTGGCCCATCATCTGTTTGGATATTGGCCAGCATGCCAACGCCTTAAATCAAAAAATAGCTTCCTAAGCTCTATGGAGATACTCATAGGGACACCTCAGCAAGCCAATGCCTTAAATCAAGAAACAGTTTGCTAAGAGCCACAAAGATACTCGCGGGAACACCTCAGCAAGCAAGAGTCCAAAAGTGGCAGGCTAAAACCTGGAACCTCAATGCGTGGCTGATACCAAATGAGAAACTCCCCGCTGGGCACACAGAAGGCTGGGCGACTTGAAAGCTGCTGAACAGACTGTGCTCTGGAACCATGACATGTAGAGCCAACCTTAAGAAATGGGGCCACAAAGTGGAATCCACGACATGCGAATGTGGCGAAGAGCAAACCACAGGCCACCCACTACAATGCAGCCTGAGCCCTGCCACATGCACTATGGAGGACCTTCTCACAGTGACACTCCAAGTTGCCAGTTTCTGGTCAAAGGACATTTAGCATAATGCCAAGTTTTTAACTTTGTGTATGGTTTTTCTTTACATTATAACTGTATTCTCATTTTGCTTCTGACACAATAAATAAATAAATATTCTTGTTGTTATTTTCAACCAGGGAAACCCTCTAATTGATCTGGTTTCCAGTTACTCCGTCCTTCGACAAGGGATGACAACGATCCCGATTCAGTGTTTGCAAAACTGCAATAAATATAAACAAAACCTCATTGTGCATCTGTCTCTTCTGCCTCGCTTTCTCCTTCCTTTCTTTTCATCTGATGGTTAATTACTTTTCCTTAATTTATTTCCACCGGGGCAGAAGCGTAAATATTTCATGGGCCACTTGTCCCTTTCCTTCTGCTACCGGATCAATTACTTTCTTATTAGCCTGATTAATCGACTCATCTCCAAAAGGGATTTCTAAAAGGCTTGAGGACAACTGCTATTTATCCAATAATAATAATAATAATAATAATAATAATAATAATAATAGAGGGGACTGATCAATAGCAATAGACAAATCAATATAATCAATAATGATAATCACTTGCATCCCATAATAATAATAATAATAATAATAATAATAATAATAATAATAATAGAGGGGACTGATCAATAGCAATAGCCAAATCAATATAATCTCTTCTATCCCATAATAAAAATAATCATAATCATAATAATAGTGGGGACTTATCAATAGCTATAGACCAATCAATATAAACAATAATGCTAAACACTTGCATCTAATAATAGTAGTAATAATAATAATAGAGGCAGCTTATAAATACCAATAGACAAATCAATATAATAAATCATGATAACCTCTTGCGTCCCACAATGATGATGGTGACAATGAGATGAGCTATCTAATAAATATAATCAATCATGATAATAACTTACATCTAATATTTATTTATTTATTTATTTAGAAGGTTTATATACCGGTCTTCTCACCTCGAACGAGGGTGTGCTATCTATAGTAAAAGACAAATCACAATAATCAATAATGATAATCACTTGCATCTAATGATGATGATTATGATGATGCACCAATGATATTATTGTTGTTGTTGTTGTTGGACCCCTGTGTCATTATTATTATTGGGTTGCTGTGAGTTTTCCAGGCTGTCTGGCCATGTTCCAGAAACATGCTCTCCTGACATTTCGCCCACATCTATGGCAGGCATCCACAGAGTTTGTGAGTCGTATTGGAAACTAGGCAAGTGGGGCTTATATATCTGTGGAATGATGTCCAGGGTGGGAGAAAGAACTCTTGTCTGCTGGAAGCAAGTGTGGCTGTTGCAATTGGCCATCTTAATTAGCACTGAGTAACCTTGCAACTGCAAAGTCAATCAGTGAGGGTGTCTGCATAGAGGTCTGTTGGAAATGAGGCAAGTGGACTGTATATATATCTGTGGAATGATGTCCAGGGTGAGAGAAAGAACTCTTATCTGTTGGAAGCAAATGGGAATTGGCCACCCTGATTAGCATTTAATGGCCAAGCAGCAACCACCCAGGCTTTGAAGCTGCTAGGCTGTTGAATGCAAATCAAGGTGGCCAATTGCAACATTCCCACTTGCCTCAGGCAGACAAGAGTTCTTTCTCCCACCCTGGACATTATTCCACAGGTGTATATATATATATAAACCCCACTTGCCTAGTTTCCAACAGACCTCAGAATCTCTGAGGATACCTACCATAGATGTGGGCGAAACGTCGGGACAGAAAGCTTCTGGAACATGGCCAGACAGCCCAGAAAACTCACAGCAACCCAGTGATTCCAGCCATGAAAGCCTTACACAACACATTATTATTGGATCCCAGTGACTATTATTACTATTACTATTATTACTATTATTATTATTATTATTATTATTATTATTATTATTATTATTCCTTTTTTGGACTTAGTGATGTTGTTATTGTTGTTGTTGCTATTATTATTATTACTGTTATTATTTAGGTTGGACCCTGATGTCATTGTTGTTGTTGTTGTTCCTTGTTTTGAACTGCTTTTCTTAGCTTTGCAGTCTGGAGATTGCAATCTCCCTTTGGTTTTCCTGCTTGAAGAAGGAACCAGGCTAGAGTTTTGCAAAACCTTTTCCCCTTTTTCTTTTCTTTTTCCAGGACCGAGTTGGCAAAGGCTTTGCAAAAGGGCCGGCTGGGCGTATTTTGGGCGCCTCTTGCTTCTGCAGGGATTAACAATGAACGAATGCCAGGGAAAGAGGGCTATTCATAGCCCTTGTTCATAGCCCTTTTGTTCAGGGGAATGAATGGCTGGCAGGTGCTTCGGAAGGAAGGTGGCTGGAAAACAACCTTTGCAGGCCTGCCTGGCAGAACTATAAATCCCATCGCCCTGAGCCAGGGAGGCCTCTTGGTCCCAGGGAGTAGATCTTTCCCAATATCTATTTCTCTATCTATTGATCCATGCATTTTCCAAGACAGCGCCCACATCCAGAGAGAACTGCAATTCATCCTGGACGATGAGAGTTGTAGTCCAGCCACATCCAGGGAGCACTGGGCCAAACTTGGCACACAGGCTCAACATGACCAACTTTAAGCACCGAATGGGTTTGGACGGCAATGGCAGAGGATGATAGAAGTTATAGTCCACCAGAATTGACCCTGGATTATGGGAGTTGTAGTACATCCACATCAAGAGAACTTTAAGTATCACCTGGGTTTGGGTGTCAATAGCAGAGGATTATAGACATGATAGTCCACCAGAATTGACCCCAGATGATGGGAGCTGTACTCCACCCACATCCAGAGAGCTTTAAGTACTGACTGGGTTTGGACTGCAATGGCAGCAGATGATGGGAGTTGTAGTCCATTCACAATCAATGAACACTGTGAACCCCACTAATGATGGATCTGGACCAACTTTAAAGTACGGATTGGGTTTGGGCAGCAATGGCAAAGGATAATGGGAGTTATGTTCACTGGAATTGGTCCCTGGGTGATAGGAGTTGTAGTTCATCCACATCCAGAGACCCAGCAAGACCAACTTTAAGTACTGATTGGGTTTGGATAGCAATGGCAGAGGATGATGGGAGTTATTTTATAGTGAAATTGACTCTAGATGATGGGAGTTGTAGTCCATCCATATTCAGAGACCCAGCAAGACCAAATTTAAATACTGATTAGGTTTGGATGGCAACGGCAAAGGATGATGGAAATTATAGTCCACCAGAATTGATCCCTGGATGATGGAAGTTGTAGTTCACCCACAATCAAATAACATAATGAACCCCACCAATGACAGATCTAGGCCAAACAGACTCTAATGTGACTAACTTTTGTGCAAGGGCAGAGGATGATGGAAGTTATAGTCCACCAGAATCTGTCCTGGATTATGGGAGTTGTAGTCCATTCAAATATAGAGTGCACTGTGAAACCCATGAAGGATGGATCTGGACCAACTTTTAAGTACTGATTGGGTGTGGAGGGCAATGGCAGAGGATGGTGGGAGTTATAGTTCACCAGAATTGACCCTGGATGATGGGAGTTGTCGTTCACCCACAATCAAATAACACTGTGAACCCCACCAATGATGGATCTAAATCTAGCTTGTCACACAGACCCAACATGGCCAAGTTTAAGTACGGATTGGGTTTGATCTGGGATGATGGGAGTTGTAGTTCGGCCACCTGCGAACCCCACCAATGATGAATTTAGACCAAGCTCAGCATGAAGATCCACCTGGACCAACTTGGAAGTCCTGGGAGAAGGGTCGGGACAGCAATCCAATCTCCCGCATCCAAAAGACGTATCCTACATATGGAGTGCTATTGGAATGTCCATGGATAGAATCCAAACAATGCCTCAAACTCTCCCCTTGTATTATTATTATTATTATTATTATTATTATTATTATTATTATTATGTATTGCCAACAATGAGGACTAAAGCCTTGATTGAGGAACAAAGGAAGTGCTGCAGCTCTGTTTGGCATATAAGAAGTTGTTCTAATTAGGATAATTCATTTGCTGGAGCAATTTGTCACGCTTTCCATCTCCAGCCACCTAGCAACCCAATGCAGGGCAAAAGGTGGGACATGAATCATTTAATATATGTGTGTGTATATACACACACATATACATGCATATATTCAAATGATATTTTTTTCCCCCGCTTTAGAAATCCATAGAATAAATAGGTTTCTTGGTTTCCCTTTCTAGAGCGGATGATATCCCATTCCCAAGTTCAAGGTGAGAACTCCAACTTACCTAGACGTAGCAGCAGCACCACCACCAATCCTGTTGTAGTTCTCCTTTTGGAAAGAAAGAAAGGATGGAAGGGAAGGAAGGAAGGATGCTTTTGCTCTGGTTCTTCTCCAAAGACACACTTTGGGAAAGGGGGTGTCCTTTCTTTTGTTTTCCTGTCTATAACACCCCAGGAAGAAGAAGGAAGGAAAGAATGAAGGAAGGAAAGGAAAGAGGAAAGGGAAAGGAAAGAAAAAAGGCAAGGAAAGGAACAAAAGGAATAAAAGAAGCAAGGAAGGGAAGGGAAGAAGAAATCAATGGTAAGGAAGTGCAGGAAAGAAGAAAGGAAGGGAAAAAGAAAGGAAGGAAGGAAAGGTAAGGAAAGAAGAAAGGTAAGGAAAGCAAAGAAAAGAAAGAAGAAAAGAAAGGGAAGGAAGGGAAGAAAAGGAAAGAAGAAAGGAAGGAAAGAAATGGAAGAAGAATGGAAGGAAATGAAAGAAGAAAAGAAAGAGAAGGAAGGAAAGAGAAGGGAGGGAGGGAGGAAAGAAGAAAGAAAAGGAAAGAAAGGAAAAGGAAGAATAAAAGAAGGAAAGGAAAGAAGAAAGGAAAGGGAGGGGAGGGGAGGGAAGGAAAAGAAAGGGAAGGGAAGAAGGAAGGAAAGAAGGACAAAAAGAAGGAAAGGAAAGGTAGAAAGAAAGGAAATTAAGGAAAGGTAAGAAAAAAGGAACGAAAGGAAGGAAAGAAGAAAAGAAAGGAAAGGAAAGGAAAGGAAGGAAGGGAACGAAGAAAGGAAAGAAGGAAGGGAAGGGAAGAAGAAAGGTAAGGAAAGGAAAGAAAAGAAAGACGAAAGCAAGGAAATAAAGGAAATAAAGAAAAAGAAAGACTAAAGGGAGGAAAGGAATGGAAGAAAGGAAAGAAGGAACGAACGAATGAAAGGAATGAATGAATGAAAGAAAGAAAGGGAAGATAGGGAAAGGAAAGAAGAAAGGAAGGGAAGAAAAGGAAGGAAAGGAAGGGAAGAAAGGAACAGAAAGAATAAGGGAAGGAAGGAAAGAAAAGAAGAAAGGATAGGATAGGAAAAGGAAGCAGTTCCCTTTTTGCCCTGTGTCTTCTCCTCCGATGCAGGCTTGTGCTTTCCCCCCTTTTTGCTTCCCTCTCAATAATAAAAGCAGGGCTTGCCTCTTGCTGGCCTTGCCCTTCTCCAGCAAGAAGAAGAGTGAAGGACAAAAGCAAAGCCCTCTGTGTGCCGCGCCTGCCTGCCTGCCTGCCTGCCTGCCTCTCCTTCCTTCCTTCCTTCCT